GATGAGGAACAGCCTGACGTGGAGGCATGAGAGGCACTTTGGCAGCCTGTTAACGATCGTAGCTCACGCGTACCATTTGAAAATGCTTCCCTCTGCCCTCTAGATTCCTATTCTTTGCCCGTGCCCTCGGTGAATTATACACGAAACAAACTCTGAATGAGAATAATGATAACGATAAATGATAAAGCGCAACAGCTCTGATCACAAGCTGCAATTGCAGAGTGCTGAGCGCTAACAACTTCCGGTGACGCAGGTCACGCGCCACCGTAGGTTAAAGATTTACCTGCTTTATTTGATTTTATTTTGTTAATACTTTTTGTGAAAATGAGACTGATAGGATGATTAGGGTGCAGTGTACATTAACACAAAAAAATATATGACGAACATGCACAAAGACACACAAATGGTTGCTTGTTTTTTTTCTCCTCTACACCCCTCGCGATCGACTTTGGACCAGCCCGTGATCTACCGGTTGATTGCGATCGACGTAATGGGCACCCCTGTTGTAGGATGTCACAAGTTGGTGTCAAGGAAGTATGCTGGAACATATCAATATACATATACTTTCAGGGCATTTTTAAAAAATCTTTATTTATTTAGAGCAAAGGTGTCAAACTCAAGGCCCGGGGGCCAGATCCGGCCCGCCACGTCATTTTATGTGGCCCGCGAAAGCAAATTATGTGTGTCAACTTCCATGATCCTTGCTCGAATCCAGACCGAAACGTCAAGTTGTCATATGTAATAAATAACGTTGAGATTTTGCAATAATTTTGTGGAGACAATAATTGAACAAACAACAAACAAACAGTTGGCTGATTTCAAAACTAGTCATCCATCAATTTGATTTGTTGTGTACAAGTAATAATACGATATCATGATGAAACATTTACTCTGTTTCACTGTCGTAATGGCCCGCCAAGGGAAGACGTAACTCCAAAGTGGCCCGCGACAAAAAGTGAGTTTGACACCTCTGATTTAGAGGGTAGTGATTACGTATTTCGAGATCATAGTTTGTGGTACACTTACACAAACTATTAATATAGGCATTTTTAATACAGAAAATATTCTCTAGTGCGGACTCGTGTTTGCGCTGTCCAATTTGTCCTGATAACAGAAATTCCTCATTTGGGAAATGAGCATGGTACATGTCCTTTATGAACCTGCAAGTATGTTGACAAAA